GGTGGCGCAGGGGGGCAGGAGGCCGGGCAGGCCGGGCGGGGACAGCAGCCGGCCTTGCTCCAGCAGCCGCAGGACGCTGCAGGTGGCCGCGGTCTCCGACACCACGGACCGCAGCTCCGAGTCCTTGCCCTGGTCCTTCTTCTGCTTGGTGCGCCGGTTCTGGAACCACACCTTGACCTGGGCCGGGCGAGAGGGCGGCGGGTCAGGGGCTGCCGGCCGGGCAGCCCGGCGGGGTCGGGAACGCGCGTCGCCCAGCTCCCTCAGGAGCCGCCTCCCCTGCCCTGAGCCCACGCCCGTGCCCAGGCGCCGGCAGCGGAGGCTTGTTCTTCGCTGCCCCGGGGTGAAGGCGGTCGGGGTGAGGCCCTGCAGGCCCTCGGGAGCCGCAGCAGCTTCGACGGGGCGGGCCTACAGCGGGGACCCTGCGCGGTGGCAGTGAGACCCCCCCCCCCGGGGCTGAACCCCGGCCTCTCCCCCAGCTCCAGCCCCGGGGCCCCTAAGTGACAGCGAGCCGCAGGCCGGGGCGGGGGTGGGGGGGTGTCCCCCCGCCCCGTGGGACGCCGGCCTCATTCCCGACACTGGCCGTCGGGGCAGCGCTGCAGGGGAGCGGGAGACGCTGTGGCAGCCCCCTGGGAAGCCGCCCGGCTCCTGCCCTGCAGCCTGGCAGGGGCCTTGCTGCCCTCCCAGCCCGTCATTTCAGCTCCGGCCAGGCCCCGAAAGCACGGGGGTGGGGGAGAGGCTGCAAAGCCCTCCGCGGGCAGGGGGCTCCCAGGAGCTCGGGGCCGTGCCACGAGCCCGGGGCGATGCGGGGCTCCAGCGGGGTGCGCCGGGGCCGGGCTGGGGGCGGGGGGGTCCCCGGCCGGTCCTACCTGAGTTTCGGAGAGGTTGAGCTGCCGGGCCAGCTCGGTGCGCTCGCGGCCCACCACGTACTGGCAGCGCTGGAACTCCATCTCGAGGCGGTAGAGCTGCTCGGCCGTGAAGGAGGTCCGCGTCCGCTTGGGCCGGTCCAGGTCGAGCCCTTTGGGCAGGATAATCTCCCGGATTGAACCTTTGGCATCTGGCAAAGAAAGGCGCAGTCACGGCCGAGGCAGGCCCCTGGCACGCGGAGGCCCGGCCCTGCGCTGCAAGCTGCACCCAGGCAGCGGGAGGGCGATGCTCGTGCCGGCGGGGGGAGCCCCGGGGCAGCGGCGGGCAATGCAAGCAAAGGCCCCGCTGCTCCCGGGGGTGGTGGTTGGGGGGCGGGGGGAGGATTCACGTGCCTCCCGCCCGGGGGGAGCTGCGGGAAG